ATAACTTGTTCATCAAAACGGGTTCATACATATATACATACATACATACATACATACATACATACATACATACATACATACATACATACATACATACATACATACATACATACATTCATACATACTTATAATAGTTAATACATGTAAGTAGTACACATTATACCTAAATATACGACATACGTAATACCAACAAATACAAAAAAATAAATATACACAGAATAGATAAGTTGTAAATAATAAAATTACACGGTACTGTGAAAAAACGAATTTAAAAGAAACACATAGAACTATACACAATGATCTCTGATGACGATGCAAAGTATTTCAACATTGTTCTACGTATGTTGCGGTACTCTGTGCTTCAGTTATGTTGCGATAGAAAACAACAACCTTGTCTATATGCATACATTAAAATATATATGGACGTGTGTGTGTGTGTGTGTGTACGTGTGTGTATTTGAGTGTGTTTGGTTGTGTGTATTTTTGCATGTGTATGCTTAAATGTGTGTGTGTGTGTATGTGTGGGTGTGTGAGAAATAGAGAAAGAAAAAGAGAGAGAAAGAGATTGAAATGTGTACCCAAAAAATAATACAAAATATAATCAAATGAGTTACAACAAAAACTATTGATATACAATTCTATAACAACATTGATTCTCTACAAACACTGATTTTATACAAACACTGATTTTATACAAACATTGATTTTATACAAACATTAATTTTATACAAACATTGATTTCAAACAAACATTGGCCTCATACAAAAATTGATCTCAAACAAACATTGATTCATACAACTTTCTGTACAAAAAAAAAATAAACACGAGCAACCAACAGAGGAAAAAATAAGTCCAATGCAAATAATTGGACTACATGGCTCTAGCTCTGCATCGTACATGCTGGTCTCCTTATTGCAAATAAAGAAGAATATCTAGTGAACTGGGAAACGAAGAAGAGATAGACAGAAAGAGAGAGAGAGAGAAAGAGAGACAGAGAGAGAGAGAGAGAGAGAGAGAGACAAACAGAGAGAGAGAGAGAGAGAGAGAAAGAGAGAGAAGAGAGAGGGAAAAAAAGATGTAAAAAAAGAAAGGAAGAAAGAGAGGAGAGACTAGTGTGAAATGTGGATAAGAACAAAACGACATGACGAGAAAAAAATGATAAAGAGGGATCGAAATTAGAAATTGAACAGAAGAAACTTATTAGAGCAAAAAAATTAATCTTTGAAACAGTGGGGTAATGTTTTAAGAAATCATTGAATCGCAAGAGTAAAAATGATTTAGGTGATATTTTAATAATGATGATGATGACGACGATGATGATGATGAGGAAGACAACGACGATGATGATGAGGATGATTATGATCATGATTTGGACGATGTTTGATATAATTTTGTGTATGATATTGAAACATGGTGGCAATTATTTGAATAAAAATAAATGAAGAAATTGGCTTGGTCCGCATGCGGGTTTGACTTCGTTTGCCTTTTAAGTCGAAAGACAGTTTTTAAACTACCTTTCAAGTCTGTAGTTGATGAATTCAAATGCGCAAAAATAAGATGTAAATAGATGCTTGACAACTCGGCAGACCAATGTATAACCCAGGTTAAGCCTCCGTTGAAATCGGGAAAAAATAGAAAGCCAGAAATAAAATAGACTATTCAGAACAATCTTTTAAACTTAAGAAGATTGTTGGAGCGGTGCAAAGCACAAAACACGATGTAAGCTGGTTTCAAAATAGGTGGTGGTCAAAGATCAACAACAAAACAAAAAGTCAGATGATTATTGAAGAAAGACGTAATGAGTACAACAGAGAAAGAGTGGAGGCGTCAGTGGAGCAGAGTCAACAGGGCAGACGGTCGTCGTGGGAAGAAGTGTTGCAGAGAAACGTTAGCTGGAAAGAAATTTGAAATTGATTAATTTCTTCTTTGTTTAACCTTCCTAATAAGAGGAATGTAGGATCAGCTGCCAACAAAAGCAAATTTAATTCAGTAGAACTTGTTGGCACGGAACAAATGTACACTCTGTGGAGGTCACGAGACACTTGCGCACGTGCTGTCGTCAGGTCACGAGACGCTCTAAGCCACGGTCGGTACACATGGCGCCACAACAAAGTTTTGAAAAAATGCATAGTAGAAATGGTCTGTTCTTCTTGCAATGACGCCAAATTTCAGTTTGCGGGAAACACGAAGGTGTATTCCCCAAGAGAAGGACAAAGCAGTGACGTCAAACATGACCGAGTGAAGGATGGTATCTTAAAAAACGCCAACGACTGGGTTGTGTACACTGATTTGAGAGAAAGACGAAATTTTCCAACGTACATCCTCAAAGAAAGAGGCATGAGACCTGACATGGTGGTGGTGGCATCTGAGAATACGATTTCAGTTATCGTTATCGAACTAACTGTGTCGTACGAAGATAACATGCTCTGTAGCCAAGAGGTAAAAATTGCAAAGTATGAACAGCTGATTCAAGGTTTAAAGAAGAAAGGATACAAAACCAGGTTCTACACTTTTGAGGCTGGTGCAAGAGAAACAGTGGGAGCGTCGCTGTATGCACTTTTTAAAGTGTTGGAACTGTCAGACTGAAGAAAGTTATCAGTAGCACAGAGCAAGCTTCGTATTGGTTGTGGCTGGATAGAAAGAAAAAGGCGTGTCGGCTGAATTAGCAAGCCATGGTGTCCTATCACTGTAAAGCTGAATATAAAGCTGAATTTTGGCATAAATAGTAGATCAACACAGCTGAAAAATCAACAGTCATCGAGGAGCTTTCGAGTAATCAACGAACATACATACATACATACATACATACATACATACATACATACATACATACATACATACATACATACATACATACATACATACATACATACATACATACATACATACATACATACATACATACATACGTACATACATACATACATACATGCATGCATACATACATACATACATACATTTATATATACACACATTTACACGAATTTACATGCATAAATTTGATTTTTAAATTCTAATTCTATTCAAACCTTCTAACAAAAATAAAACTGAATCAAAATTCATATGAAATGTATGACCAAAAATCTTTAAAACAAAAACTTATCTCTAACTGGGAAAAATACAAAATGCACATGGAAACGAACAAAGCAGACAAACAAATTGAAAAACTGCAAAACATACAAAACAGACAAGAAATAAAAAAAAATAATGAATTTAAATAAAACATTTAAATGGACACAATAATAAACAAACAAAAAACATTTATGTGAACGGTGGATCGAACATACAAAAAAAAGAAACTTAAAATAAACACACATCGGAAAAAACATCAAACAGACAAACGAGCAATTAATTATGAAAACAAACTAGCAAACAAATTTGTGAAAAAAAAACAAACCGCGACCAAACAAACAAACAAACGAACATAAAAACGAACGACAATCAAACAAGTGAACAAACATACAAAAAGACAAACGGACGAACATTCAAACGAACGAACAAACAAATGAGACAAGGGCCTGTTGAGATTGCCCGGAATGATCAGACCACATAAACCAACCAAACCATTTAATGTACGCTATTTGACCTCCGAATGTACAAAAGGTAGAAAAATTGCTGGAGAGGAAACTCATTTAAAAAAAAATAAAAATCCTTTTTTCTTATAAAAAAGCTTTTTCAAAAACATGATCAAAATTGAAATTCGCTGTAAGATATAAAAATAGATAGTATTTTTTCACATGGTGGTGAATTTCTGCAACTTTAATTCATTAATTGTAATTAGAATTGAACCAAATTATTTAAAATAAATTACATTAAAATAAATTAAATTAAAATGAGATAAATTGAATTAAATTAAACTAAAATAAACTGAAATGATTCCCAATTTTGTTTTTAGTTAACGAATTCAAAGTCAACCAATTTATTTATGTCTTTAGAATATACTCGGGTGATTTTTGTTGCTTCTTTAGTTCAGAAGTTGGTCTTAAGTTATTTATACATAAATAAATAAATGTTTACTGTTACATATATAATGACAATTGGTTGGTGAAAAAAAGCTTCTTATGCTATATATGCAAAATATAAATAAATGTTTGTTTATGAACTGAACAAACCTGATGGATAAACAGAAGTTTGTCATATGAAAAATTAAAAAACTATTATACAAATTGAATAATGTTGTGGTAATTTTAAACAACTGTTACATTTATATGTGTTTGTGTGTTTGTGTATTTGTGTAAGTGTGTGTATGTGTTGGTGTGTGTGTGTGTGTATTTAAGTATGTGTGTAAAAATGTGTTTGTGTGTATGTATGTGTATATGTACTAGTGTGTGTGGGTGTTTGTATGTTTCTATGTGTATGTAGGTATGTGTGCGTGTGTGTGTGTATGTATGTGTGTGTGTGTGTGTGTGTGTATTTACGTATGTGTGTAAGTTTGTGTGTTTATCACTTAAATTAAAACACGTTAATATCAAAAGCGTTTAAAAGCAAATTATTATTTAGTTACCCACCGGTGACGTGAATGATGAATCCAAAGATAAAATTATGAAAAATAAAAATGAAACACATGTTAGTACCGACGTGATCGTCATTGTCGTAACATTAATTAACCAAACATCACCAATGACATCAATTTATCCATCAACAGTTACATCAATCTAACCATTGACATTATCAACTTTAGCCTCAGTTCAATTACCAACTGCAGGGTGTGGGCAAACTTTTTGCTGTGAGGGCCGCATTGATAACTATTTTATCTTTGAAGGGCCTCTTATGTATTTAAATAGCAAATTTTTTCGACCCAGGGGAAAATATTTATAAGATTTAATGGCTCTATTTTTTTAGTCATAATGTCTGGATGACGACCGTTTTTTTCGCGGGTCGCCTAAAATAGCCTCGCGAGCCGCATGCGGCCCGCGGGCCATAGTTTGCTCACCCCTCTGATCAACAGCATCGTCAATGACATTAATTCAATCATCAACAACATTTTCAATGACATCAATTCAACTGACGACACTATGAACTATAGCAGAGGTAGGTAAACCACGGCCTGTGGCGGCCCTCCAAGCCATTTTATGCGACAGGCTAGGCCTTGTTAGTGTTTTGGTCGTCAGCCACAAATGAACATCTTTAAAAAAAATTACCCCCCTGGTCAAAATTAGAAAGGTTTGCTTACCCCTGAATGAATGAACTATATTATTATTGGACAGAATTACAAAAATTTCAAATTAACAAACAAACAACAGAGCCATGAGTTCGTACGGTACGCTGTTTTTATCATTACAATTGTCATTAACAAACAGCATTAAGGACAATCATCATCAAACTCAAATTCTTCATCATCAACATCAACATCATCATCATCATCATCAACATCATCATCATCATCATCATCAACAACATCAACATTATCATTAACATCAACATCAAAAACACCTCCACTTCATTCCACTACAGCAGCAAAGGAACGTTATTATGATGATGATGGTTGTTATTGATGTTGTTGTTGATGTTGTTGTTGTTGTTGTTGATGCTGTTGATGTTGTTGTTGTTAAGCAGTCTAACTGCACCGGAAGTAGGTGGCAGACTGTCATAGCAACGAGTGCCGAGGGTACGCCGTCCTTGAACTTGACCTATATTTCAAAGAAAAAGAAATTCATTTTGTGATTCGTTAAAGTTAAGATGGGTCGGTCAAATAAATAAAAAATCAAAATTATCATTTATGGATAGAATGGATGAATGGATGGATGAATAGATGAATGGATGAATGAATGGATGAATGAATAGATGAATAAATGAATAGATGGATAGACGGATGAATGGAAGAGTAGGTGAATGGATGAATGGTTGGATGGATAAATGGATTAAAGATCAATTTATCAATTTTCATTTATTTTCGTTATTTTCTAAAATATCAACATTGTTCTATAGACTATGATAATTTTTATTAAATAATTTGTTGATTAATATTTATTAATACTTATTAATTAATGAACGATTCTACTAACTTGCGATAAAATGATTTTCGTTGAGATTCTCGTTCACCTAGCGAATGGAAAGGAAATTTAGAAAATTTAGAAAAAAAACTCTAGCGAACGTTTTTTTTAATCAGCTTAGATCATAACCCATCTATAAAATTTTATATTTAAAATTGAGAAAGCTAATTTATTTTTTAATTGTATGATTAATTTGCAAGCAATGACAACAAAATGACATCATCAATTTGCTTGATAATTTAGAATAATTTATAAATAGCTTATATGTCATTCGCCCATTATTATTTTTGGAGGATTGCATTTTTTCAACGAAGGACACTATGCATTTCAATAGCAACAATATATCATAAATTGAAACAACAGCAACCCACAACAACTACAAAATAAATTACAACAACGGCAATAACAACAACAACAACAAATAAACTGCAACAACTGCAACATCACGTCAACTTTTTCGAAACAACTAAGAACGTAGAATAAATCATTGGAACAAAACTTCAAAACGTTGAAAACATCAAAACCATCGACAACAACATCCGCTACAAGAGCAACAACAACAGCAACAACATCATCGACAACAACAACAACATCAACAGCAACCTGCGGACGTATGAATGTTAGTCTCTGTTGCACGTTATAAAAATGTTGAGGTGACGTCATGATGGGGCACAAGATGTTGCGAGTATTGTTCACGTGCTGTTGACGAAATTGTTGATTGTAGTCATCAATGAAGTTGTTGGAAATGTTGTTGTTGTTGTTGTATTTTGATCTAAAAGTTAGAGTAGAGTAATTGGTGTTGTTTTGGAAGTTGTTGTTAATGTTAGGATTGATGATGTTGTTGTTAACGTTGCTGATGTTATTTGTGTTAATGTTATTGTTGTTGATGTTGTTCATTTTGTTGAGGTTGCGCTTGAAATTGTTGATGGCTTCATCGTCGAACGGAGGTGAAGGTGGTGGCGATGGCAGATTTGTTGCAGCAACAATGTTGTTGTTGTTGCTGTTGAATCTTCTCAGGATGTTGTGTTGTTGTTGCTGCTGCAAATGTTGCAGATGTTGTTGTTGTTGAGCTTTGTCTGACTTGATCGGAGAAATCAGTAGGGTGTTCGAGGAATTCGGTGGTTTGTTTGTGTCCTGTTGGGTGATGTTGTTTTTGTTTGTGTTGTTGTTGTTGTTGCTATTGTTATTGTTGCTGTTTTTTGTTGTTGTTGTTGTTGTTATTTTTTGTGTTGCTGTTTTTTTAATGTTGTTTTTTGTTGTTGTTGTTTTTACAGTTGTGTCGTTTAAGTTGTTGGTTTGTTAACTTTTGTTGTAGCGAATGGTAACCATATTTCATTAGCGTCAGCATCAACAACAACACAAAAATTGGAATGAAATATATAATTTAAAAGTTGAAAATAAACGTTAAAAATATTATTTATTCATTTCGTTTATTGAATAAAAAAATGAAAAAAACAAAGCAAAAAAGGAATCAAAAATCAAGAAACGAATTTAAAAAATTGAAAATAGATAAATTTTTAAAATAAAAAAACATGGCGACGTTAAATCTCCAATTCAAACGCGCCTTGGAGACCACTTGCAAGTTAGATTTGAAGATTCGCGAACCACTACGAATAATGAAATGTTGTCGGTTTAAAGATGAAATCTTCTGATAAGACATTGCAAACGTCATCGCATGTATATTAATGCAAATAACATCAACATAAACTACATTAATAGAGAAATGTCAACCCGAACAAACTACATTAACAGAGAAAACACCATCAAAAATTACATTAATGCATATGACACAAGCTTAAATAGAAAGCTTTGTTACAGAAAACATCAACTTAAAACACAAAATACAGTGTCACGTCAACAAAAACAACAACAACAACAACAAAATAAACAACATACACTTCGTCAACAATAATACAACATCTACAACAACAGCGGCAACATCAACAACAACAACAAAAACATAGTTTAAAAAAAAAACAGCAAAAAATTATAAAAAAAAAAAAAACATCAATAACAACAACAAAAAACCATTAACTGCAACAAAAACAACAATATCAACATCAACAACAACAACTGCGTCAACATTATCAACAACAAGTTGTCAACAACACTCATTACATCACAGCAACAACATCAACAGCGCTATTAATATTAATAATAAGAATAATAAACTCATAATAAAATAATAATAGTAGTATTATTATAATACGCTAAAAACGACATCAGCAGCAACAAAAGCGACGACATAGACGACGACGACAACCACAAGACGAAGAAATTAATGACGCATAATCTAGATTATAGTAAGAGACACACGATCGTTGCCTCGAGCCAGCTTCCACCCATCAACTTTGAAATACTCAATGATTAAATTCATTTTGTTAAGTGTTTTCTCAAATGTCAGTGTTGTGGCCTGTAGTGGTTGTGATTGTTGTCGCCGATGTCGTTGCTGATGGTTTGGATTTGTTGTAGCTGGGGTTGGTAGTGTTAGTGGTGGTCTGTTGGTGGTTGTGGTGGCGTGGTAAGAGATGAGGTGAGTGGGGTGAGGTTTGATGTTAATATTGTTTTGCTTGTTTTAGTGTTGTTGTTGTTGTTGCTGTTGTTGTTGATATAATTTGTTGCCGTCGTCTGTGTTACTTACAAAAACTCGTGAAGACCGATTCAGTCGCCAACAACATCAGCAACGACAACAACGACAACAGCAGTAACGACACTCGCCTCACAAAACTATGATTTCACTCTTCACGAAATTCCAATTAAAGTTTGCAGCATAAATAGGTTTGTATGGATGAATTCGTTGGCTTCTCTTGTAGCAAAACCGAAACAACATCAACTATAACAACAATAATAACAACGATATCAATCCTAACAACAACATTACCAACAATTACAATAACAACAATAACGTTCATAGCAACAATAACAACAACCAGATAATAACAACAAAGATTAAAATAACAATGAGAACAATAGCAACAAAAATATCAACGACAAAAAATAGATGTACGTGCAACAACATTATCAACGGAAACAACTCTAGGAATACAACAACAAATGTAACAAAAATATCAACAACAACACCAATGGTAATGATCAAGAATTAGAAGGAGGAGGAGAAGAAGTAGAAGAAGAAGAAGAAGAAGACGATGATGTAATAGAAGAAGAAGAAAATTAAAACAACAATAAAAACAATAATAATAAGCATAAGAAAAAGAATAATAATTACTACAGCATCAACAACAACAAGTACTACTAATACTACTACTACTACTAATACTACTACTGCTGCTACTACTACTACTACTACTACTACTACTACTACTACTACTTAGTAGTAGTAGTAGTAGTACTTAGTAGTAGTACTACTACTACTACTACTACTACTACTACTAAGTAGTAGTAGTAGTAGTACTTAGTAGTAGTAGTACAGTAGTAGTACTACTACTACTACTACGCTACATGCCAATTCAGCAACAAAATGATTTTGAAACAACAAGCAAACAACATAACCAAAAAAATAAAAACACCAACAAATACAACAATACAAAAATGATAAAAAGTAATAAATAATAACAATAACAACAACAGCCAAAACAAAAATAATAGCAACAACAATATTAATAATAATAACAACAACAATAACAATAAACAACAACAACAACAGCAGCAGCATCAACAACATGAACAATAAAAACAACAATAATAACAATAAACAACAACAACTTCGTCATGATCTGAGACAGGAAAAGATGATTTTTATCAATCATAATGTATGTGTTGTAAGCTTATTCCAATACAAGAGATGGTTATGATAACGATGACGATGATAATGATGATAGTGATTGTGATGATGGGAATGATGATGATGATGATGGTGACGACGACGACGATGATGATGATGAAGAAGAAGAAAAAGAAGAGGAAGAAGAAGAAGAAGATGATGATGATGACGATGACGATGTTGGTGACGATGAAGATGAGAATGGCTATGATTAATATTATAACGCCTTTTATAACAATAATAACAATAAAAAATAGGAAATTAATAACAATAAAAATTATAGCAATAATAACAAAGAGAACAAGCAATTATATGTATATGTATATATGTTGGTAATAGACCATAATTTTTACAATATGTATAATATATAATCCTATATATCCTGCTCCATCTCTCTCGAGTATTAGAAGTTAAAAAGAAGGTAGTTCAAGAAAAAACGAACTACAAACATATTAACGCCAAACATTCGGAGACTGCCAGAAATACAATTATTGATGAAAATCACAGCAAGTTCGGCGTTAATTAGCTTCCTGTATAACTTTTCAATTTTTTTACGATCTAGTAAATCCTTGTCAAGCATCTAGAGTTGAATATCAAAACTGTAATTTATTTAAAGCTTAAGTGTCATGCTCATAATTTTAAATCGAATCATGGAGAATTTAAATTATCCAACGGAGTTGTGGGTGGGTATGCGTGGAGTAGTTTGAGTGTTGATGCTGAGCTGACTGGTTGACACTGATTCGTATAGGGCTCGTTCGGATGGGCATAATTGCTTGTTATGTTTGCTATTATTATTATTATTATTATTCATTATTTCTACTATTATTGTGTATCATCTTTTAAAAATGTTGCAATTATTCAAGCCGCCAGCGAGATGAAATCACACCTAAATAGAAACGTCTGCCGGTTCATTTTATTGTTATCATTCCTACTTTGTTATTTTCATTATTATTATTGTGAATATTTTTTTAAATAATTTTTATTTCCTTTATTTATCTTCAAATTTATACCACCTCTTTCTCTCTATCTTAAAAGAGGAAAAAATAAACGAAGCAATAACATCCATGCACTTACATCAGGGGCCTCTGAATGTCCTAAATTACTACTTCCGTGCCATAAAACACTACATTAACGTCCTGAGATACCACATCAACATCGTAAGATACTACATCGATGTCATATGATACCACATTCGTGTGATATGATACTAGATTGATGTCATATGATACCACATTGGTGTTATTTTTGATAACATTTTGATGTCATATAATACCATATTGGTGGGATATGATACTACATTGATGTGATATGATACTAGATTGATGTCATATGATACCACATTGGTGTTATTTTTGATAACACTTTGATGTCATATAATACCATATTGGTGGGATATGACACTACATTGATGTCATATGATACCACATTGGTGTTATTTTTGATAACACTTTGATGTCATATAATACCATATTGGTGGGATATGACACTACATTGATGTCATATGATACCACATTGGTGTTATTTTTGATAACACTTTGATGTCATATAATACCATATTGGTGGGATATGATACTACATTGATGTGATATGATACTACATTGATGTGATATGATACCAGATTGATGTCATATAATACCACATTGACGTGATATGATACCATATTGATGTTAAATGATATCTCATTAATGTCGTAAGATATTACATTAATGTTATAAAAAGACCATATTCAGTACTATAAAGTACCCTGAATTTTTACCATGAATTACATCTATCCGTGCTACGCTGATGTAAAAATGTTTTTGTTATTATTTGAACCATTAAATATCACGTCACATCTAAGCTATGTTTTTAGTATTAAACACCATTAAGAATACCAAAATTATGATAATTTATAAAGACCATTGTCAAATTCAAAAGGTTAAAGGTTAAAGGTTATTCTCTCTTTCTTTTGCGTTTGCTTCAGAGGTTTCAACGACAAACACACACAGCGTAGGTATATGAATACGCGTGCAAACCACGCATCATACACATTGCATATGATAGGCGGAGATCTCTTTGTATTCGAACCCAGTCATTGCAATAGCAAGACCAGGCGCCTTTAACCACATTGCATATGTTTATGACTTATGAGAACTTAACTAACGTAAAAAAACAAAAAACATTCATAAACATACAAATATATTTACAAACAATAAAAGCATGTATTAGCATATATAAGTATTTACAAACACAAAAATATTTACAAACAATGGTATTTTTATGTTGTATTATTATGGCTTCTTTATGCTATGTTGGAACTTTAATAATGTATTAATATGGAATTTTAATATTAGGTAGGTATATCGAGGGTATTTTAATACTATATATAAGGTAATGGACACCGAGTTAGCTCAGTTGGTAGAAGTGCCGTGTCTCGCACTGCTATCACGCGATGCCATGGTTCGAATACTGTCTGTTCAAAAACTCTAAGACCATCATACTCTTATGAAGTGGTGCTTGCGTGTGCTAACGTAATGTGTACAGCCGTCGTGTGGTGTGGTGTGGTGTGGTGTGGTGTGGTGTGGATAGTACAGTCTTTGAGACTACAAATATGCACGGACATATACAAACATACAATGACATTTGCAAACATACAAAAAAAGTACTAACATACAAAAACTTGTACAAACGTAAAAAAAACGAAAAACATTGTATAAACATACAAATATATTTACAGACTATAAGAACATGTGCTAGAATACAAAAATATTTACAAACATGCAAATACGTTCACAAAGATAGAAAAACTTTTCAATTTATACATAAAAAAAATATATGTAGACAAATATAAATTTATAAAATCATAACGAAACATAAACAAACAAACCTAAACATATACAAACACACCTACAAATACAAAAACAATCTAAACACAACAAAAACATGTGATGAAAAATTAAAAAGGAAGACTTGACAAAAAAAAAAAATCTGTAAAAAATGAGCCCTTCATGTTAATTTTTCAGTGACTTCGCTGTTTATTGTATGTGAGAAGACATTTACGTCTGCATAAATAGACACACACTCACACACACACTCACACACCACACACACACGCGTGTTTTTACATAATGTATATACACACATACACACACATACATAAATATACATAAATGCATACACATACATTTACACACACACACACACACACACACATAT